GGCTGGTGGTCAATTCATCAAACTTCAAAATAATGAAATTACATGTCATGTACCTGTACATGTATACATATGATATAGGTGCATTCTATCTATACGTTATGTTTTTAGAAGCCAATTGTTTTTGGAGTCATTTGTCCTTTACTACCTTTACCAGTATTTTAACTGCTCATTCAATTTTGTGATAATTTTGCAGTTTGATATTAAATGATAGTCCATTTTCTCTCTCTTTAGCCTCTGATGGACTGCCTCATCAGTCGAGGAAGAAGGTTACAGTTAACTCAAATGCGTCTTACCTTTATGAGAAAAATGAGGCGGAGATGAAATTAAGAGAAAAGGAACTTGAGCTTCAGAACAGACGCTTCGTTCAGTGTAGTGGCTCAATCAGTTTATGGGAATATTCATCTGTCGCCTCTACTCTACCAAAAGAGACAGTGACCAGACAGGGTGGTTAGTATTCAGGCCGTTGTATTCCCCCTTTTAATCATTTATTTAAGTCTGCAGAAACTTATCAGTGACATTGTTTTTGGTTCAAGCCCAAAGACTGTGCTACAACACACACACACAGCCAAGCCAGTTAAACACTATAGCATTATCCATAGACATAAAGATCTGTAAAGGCACAAACTTTACTGGGCAGTTAAATTGCCCCCAAGGCAAATTTGGCACTATGCAAATCCTTCAAATGTCATCTGATGATATAGAAATAAAAGAATGGGTACAACATGTTAAAGCACAGCTTATGATCAGAAAATTTAGAAATAGAGAAGCAGCAGCTGATTTTGTTGTTAGCCATTTGGCTGGTATAGCTAGGAAAGAACAAAGTAAAATATTTTAATCAAAATAATAGGTCGAGGTGGAGATGTCAGTAAAATTCCATTAAAAAAAATTTGAAATTTTGTTGAAAATATTTGGTAGTGGAGATATGTTACCAATACCCCAACAATGATTTTTTTTAGCATAAGCAAGGAAACAATAAGTTTTATCATGTTCGCTTATTACCCTGGTTGAGCTTTTTTATGAAACTTGTGTTCTAAAAGAATTCTTAGCTGACAGTAACAATACATTAAAGGAAGATGTGCAGAATGTGTCAGAGACAATAGTTTAAAAAGGGAGCTAAAAAGATTGAATACAGAACAGCCAAGGTTATCATTTATTGATCTGAGAGACAGAGCAATAGACTGGGTTGGTAAGACTGCTCAGAGCCAAAAAGTGTCAGAGGTTATGCATGAAATTTTAAAATTACTTCAAGAACAGTCTAAACAGATTTTACAGCAACAACGTTGATTAGATGAGTTGATGGATGGCATATGCAATTGCGAGATCGGCATGACACAATACCTAGATGCAACAGTTGGTGTGACATGGGAAGAGGAGGATATCAACACAAACAGGGCACCATACAGTTTTCAAATGAAGGTCAATGAAGAGGTCAATGTAGTCAACATGACAACAAATGTGGATTTAATAACCAGACCAAAGTGAAAAAATGTTTCAAATTTGGATCACAAAAAATGGCTTGTATCCCCTCCCTGACTGTCAGAGTAAAGAAAATGCAAAAAAAAACTCTTCTCATCAAGTTAATCTCTGAGAGATGAGACTTATCTGATGACCCTTTCATAATAGTGTGGAAACTTTTGTAAAAATGCTCAGACCAAGGGCGCAAATTATCTGTCCAACGTGTTAAATACATGCAAGTCAGATGATATGTGCACCTCTTGCAGTGTTAAAAGACAGGCAGTCATTAAGAATTTAAAATCCTAGGGAAAAGAAGTGATTGATTCCAGTCTAAAAAATATGAAAAATGTTTGTGGTATATGACACGTATAGAAAAACGTCTATCAAAAACAGAGAATGGTCTCTTAAGGGGGGGAAGACGATACAGAACAAAGCTCGAAAAAGCGATCATAGCATCAGATGAAAGTGGAGGTGTTTCTTGAGCCATGTGTACATTCAGTCAAATTTGATTTCTTTCATTACCAATAAATGGCAGAAAATGAAGTACACACAAAAGCTTTACCTTACTTAAAATGACAAGAGGTCGCAGTCCTTTGGTGTAATCGTGAAGAAGCTGATGGTCATTTCATATTAAAGCTTACATGCAGCTTATGCCTCAACACAGGGTTACATGCATACATGGCAGTTAACACGTTCTGAATTAATGCCAAATTGCAAATCTGTCAAAGACTGTGCAGACACTTATGCCATGCTATTGGCTGAGCTGGGACAGGATAGTCATATAAATGACAATAAGCCACCGTCCTCGCATAATCGTTTATTTGCTATGTTTTTTCACAGCACACCTGAGGACAAACAACAGCTCATTGCTAATGACTTACAGAAAGTTGATGGAAATTACTGAGTAGTTGTGTATACTGATGCACTAGGCATGGGCTTGATCTTAAAGATATTTACTTTGTGATTGATTATTACCCTGTCCATACCAGACATTTTCAATCCCGATTAATGCCAAATTGCAATTCTATCAATGTAAAGCCTCTAGTGTAAATGCAGTAGAGATGCAAAATCGCAATTCAAATTAATCCTTCTCGAGAGGTGGATTCTATCGATGTTAACTTAAATCGTGGTATAAAATTTCTAGTGAGAATGGGATCGATGTTTACACCGGATGTTGAGGACTTTAGGCAGGTGCACAGTGTCTTACACGTCCATTGAAAGTGAAAGAAAACAGACTGTCCACGTGGTCTCAAGTTTCTTTGCAGTCATCAAAATGGCCACGAGGACGTATTGGTTTGAACAATCAGTAGCAGCATTACTCAATATTTGGGCCGTTGAAAGTATGAAACAGAAGTTAGACCGAACTTCTAAAAAAAAGCCAGTCTATAGGGACATCGCTATGAGGATTAAAGTAAGTCTAACTTATTGATGTTCATTATTAAGTAGATAATAAATTTACCGTGCCAGCATCAGGCAACGCCCAGTCTGTGATCAAAAATAATGGAAGAAAACACTATATTACACTCATAACACATCTTCCATAAAAACATGAAATACTTCAACGTGTTGTTCAAAAATTTACCAGTATGCACTAGTATTATTGGCACTAGTTGTGCATGACAGAAGAAAAAAAGTGCTTTATATTGATTTTATGTTACAACGTACAGGACGAATGTGGTGATGAATTAACAGAGTTGGAGGTGAAGAACAAAATAAGGAATATGACACGGGAGTACCGTAAATTCAGGGACCAACACAACAGGTCAAGGGCTGGGAGGAAGCCATCCTACAAATATGAAAAAGATTAGGACAACATCCTGGGTGATAAAGCTACCACAAGACCTGTGTTCACAATGGACACAAGGAGAGGTGAAGAAGGAATATGTGCATGGCATGAACCCATTTTATAGGAACCTATACATTTCATGCATGGTGATGTAATGAAGGTAAATGATAGCAGAGGGTTTGTATTATTTTATTGTTATGGCAAATGCTACTTACTAAAAATACCAGCATTTATAGCATTGTGGGTGTTTTGTAGAAGTAATATGTTTATTATTGCCTGTGGCAGTACTTAAGCTTTTCATTTTTATGCGACTTGTTTAACGCTTGAATATATATTACAAGTTTTATTTACACAGATGAAGATTTTGCTGAGTGCTCCTCTCAAGATACAACAGAAGAGGAGAGTGATGAGGAGGCAAAGGCCTGTGGACAAGATATATTTTTTACCAAAATATACATGCACCTTGAATAATAACTTTCGGGTCTAATTACATACACTACAACAGACTTCTGTTAGAGCAGAAATTCAGACATTTAGCATACCAGAATTAAGTGGTGTTAAGGAACTTCCTTTTTGTAATTAATGTCATATGATACGTTCATTCACCTTACTTTGCCACATGCTATTTCTTTTAAATATTTATTTTGCTTTTCAGCTCGTAAGAGAACAATTGCAGAAGATGATGACGATGACAATGATAATACTCAAGAAATATTTGTGAAAAAAGCTCCAAAATTAGGTACTAACTTGTACACAATTTGATCAATTCATTTTGATCAGTTCAATAGCTTTAAGTTAAATGGTACTGGAGTATGTATTAAGTTGAACTTAGCATTATTTTGTTTTTGGAAGTTACATGTAAAATAAAAAGTATGTTTCAATTATTTTCGAGGACTGCTCAATGTATAATGTCTTTGCATATACCATTACAGCCAGGAAATCTGGATAGAAGAAGTCTAAGGCAGACATGTTTAAAAGTATTATTGATGCCCTAGAGTCCTTCTCGGCAAAATCTGACAGTGCAATGTCAGCTCTTGTCAAGTTAGAACAGGAGCGCTTGAGCATGGAGAAAACGGCAGAAGCGAGACACGTGGATGCCACGAGGGCTGAAAGAGATGCCCAATGCAAGCATGAACTGTAAATGATGCAGTTAATGGCCCAGATGATGGGGGGGGGGGGGGGGCGTGGTCAGTGCTGGTGAATTTCAGTCAGCATCTACCTCATCTAGTAGCTCTTCCTCACAAACAACTGCACCAGGAACCAGCTAAGCCAGAGCCAGAGCCAGAGAAGACCCCAATTATCATTTTCTATACGATGCGATGATACATATTATCTAGACTTGTAATATGTATCATCATGTGGATATTAGACTTGATAAATTGCGCAGATGGAGTTGAATTTAGAAATGAATATGCTGTTTGTTGCTGCGACTTGTGCAGTTATAAGTTGTAACCTGCAAATTGTGCAGATGGAGTTGTATTTAGCATTAAATATGCTGTTACAGGTTGTTTAATTTTAAGTTCATTGTTCTTTGCAGTTAATATGTTGGTTTTGAAATGCATACAGTGTTAGTGGCATGAACAAATCTACCACATGCTGGGAGAGAGTATTTTTTTCATTGCAATGATGATGAAGACTTGAACAATTATCAACAGCTAGAGACTATGACTATAAACTCAGCAAATATGTTGGAATTTGTTTTCAGAACAGAAATAATTTTCTTATACCATGTAGACATCCTGCAGTGTTAATGATATTCTTTTTTTCTGTCTATTACTTAACCTGTGTAAATTTTCATTCAATCCATATTGTACATCACCATTTCTGTGTTGTATTTTCTTACAATAAGTCCACCTATAAGAATAAATTGTGTCATTGGCTGCCCTGTGAAGGTTGGTTGACTTTCATTTCATTTGTAAATGCCATCACCGCCATGTCACTTCCACTTCATCTGTTCTATACCTGTGAAACAATTTAAAAAATCAGAATATGA